GGAAGTTATCTGTAAATGACTCGAAATTATTAATAGATGCACTACTAAATGATTTGTACTCGATCATTTTATTTAAATATGCGGAGGCTAGCATGCGTTTATCTTCATACTTTTCTATAAGAGAATCGAAAATAATTTGGTGATTTTTTCCATCTGGGGAAATACCAGAAAATGCGGACAGTGCCAGATAATTTACCTAGTAAATAGTACAGTTTTTCCGAATCAGATAATGAATTATTATCATGAACGATACTTTTAAAGTTAGCGTAAAACATAGGCCAATTGCGAATGTCACCATCGAAAGACATAATTTCAATGGGCGGTAAGCGAATTTTTTGTTTATCGGAATTACTTGACGAAGCGGCAGGTACAAGTGAAGATTTTGTCTTATAAGTATAATCATAATAGTATTTAATGCGGCAGTATAAATCTTCAAATGTTGACCATGAATGCGTATCTATTTTGGCTTTCGAATTTTGTTTAAGAACAAAGGTATTATAGCTATCTACTGCGTCGCGGAATTCAGTGCGTATTGTATCTAAATTGATACAAGCACACAAAAACCTTTCTAGTTGCTCATGACCAGAGTTAACCTTTTGATACAAGTCGAAAATATTCTGTATGCGGGCGTAGATAGTGTTACGGCGCGACAAAGCTACTTGAATTTCTATTTCAAAAGGTGCATTACTTTCGGTAGCCATTACGATAGGTATAAATTATTTATAGTTTAGCGAAAATAAATTCAAATCGACAAACTCGAAAGTGAATTATTACGAATAACAATAAATGAGCGGCGAAGATAAATAAAGTATTATATTTATATTTGTTTATAGCGGAAATGGTTAAGCGAGCGAGTCGTCTAACGTAGGTAGGAAAGGGTTTTATGTGAACCTACCCAATATATGCGGACGATAATTATTTAGTAAACGAAATGGTACGATAGTAATATGCGGACGATAATAATTGATAATGCGAAATGCGAAAATTAATAGTTTAGGTGCATAACCGACCGTAAACTAGAAAATAATACGAAAATATTTCTTTGGAGCGGAGCGGAAAATGAGCGGTAAATCCGGCTCGAAGGACCAATAATGGTGGAGCCGAATGCGGTAAAGGATATCTGGTGGGGTCGAAACCCCGGAGAGTGGACTGTAGGTGTGGTTTGAAGTTTATGGGATTAAGGGGGTTTGGTTTATGGGATAGGATGAAAAACACTGTGCTTACTTGAGGGCCTCGATGGTGGCGCTGGCTCATACGCCGGCTTCTCCTGCAGCAGTCTTGTCCTGATGCCAGCGGTTAAAGATGGCGGTCCGGAAAGTCATTGTTGATAGCTATCACAAATCACACGAAACCTTCTATTTGCGAGAAAATCTGTTCACTTAAAGATTGTTTATTAATCTTCACACTTATTTATATGAGTTTAATGCGGAAAAATATCTATATTCACAATTCTTGCGGAGCGATGACAAATTCGACTAGTTCGTTATTTCGCGGTGACAGAACTTTTTCTTTTGTTGATGCGCTGACAGCCTGCTGACAGAGCCATTTCCTTCCGGCCATCCGTCGTTGCAGGCAAATATATTGCGTCTTCCTCCCTCATAAGCATAAGGTACAGTGTTTGAAGGAGAAGGATCTATTGGGATGTGGTTAGTTCGAAAAGAGAATGACACGGTATGAAATTTAGAGACTAGAATATGTTTTGGCGTTACCACTGTGACTACAACTGACTCTAAATTCCTCATAGCTCCTTTTAATATAACAATAATAATTCAAAAAACGGTGTGGTAAAAAAAAAATAAAAAAAGGAAGCGGCTCCTATATTCATATTCTATTGTCGAAAACTAAATCACGTGCACGACCTTTCCAGAACTCCACTGACATTTTTTTTTATATAGAGGTAGGCAAATGACTCTACCCCACCTGATGTTACAGTTTGTCTATAAAGTCGTGACATTAAATGATGGCGCTTCTAGTATGCATGTAGCAACCCTATACAATCTGACCAAGATGATTTTGATACTAGAAGTTTATTCAAGTAAAATAAGTAATTAAGACACACTATACAGTCATATTTTGTTTCTGTTTTGTATACAGTAGGTACCTATGCTTATAAAAAGTTTTACCAAGCATATTTAATTGAATCAGAATAAAAATATTATAGATAAAATAGTACATTACTGTGTAAAAGTGTGTAATGTTGGTGATCACCGCTGAGGCGACATTGAGACCAGCCGTTAGGTGAGGGTCTTAAGAGAGCCGAGGATGGTAATCATCAATACACACGTGTATCATACGACGTTTTAAAACATACTTGTTAAGAAAATAATACTAAAAATCATTTTATAGTAGATAAAAGTTTATTTAGAGAAACAATTTGTAAAAATGTGCAGTTAGTAAAATTAGTGATAGGTATCTTCACTAAAAGCATCTGGCCATGGTTCTCTGTGACCTGGTGGGAAAATAAATCGTCCATTTCTTTCTTTGGTCGGCCTTCCTTTTTTCCCAGGAGTTTCAAACTTTCCATCATTCTCAAAACCTTCGTTGACTATCCGCCTAACTGTACTCTCTGATTTTCCTGAAAAAAAAAAGTTAAAAAATATGTAACGGAATAGAAACAATAACTTATTAACATGAAGAAATTAATTCGAATTCTAAAGAAAACCTGATTGAGTTGTACCATCCCAACGTATCAAAAGAAATGGTCGTACTACAATATAACCAACTTACAATGTCAATCTAACCTAAAAATGTGCAATGTAAACAATGACCTGTTTTGGTCGCAAAATCGTAAATTGAGTAAATTTGTTACTTCAGGCAAATTACAAACAAATAGTAACACGATTACTTACCCGTCATAGATGCTGTTCGCCCATAAACATCAACCAAATCCCACAAAATTCGTCCAGCTTGGTACTCCGCGAAACATCACTGGAAAACTTTAAAAATCACTTCCCGCGTGCCACTCCAATTTACTTTACTCATTTTTATACCTTTCTGCGTTGTTTTGGTCTTATTTTTTTTTACAGTTTAATCAAAACAATAATAAATACAAAAGGAAAACTGTTCCACAACTCAAACTCGATGACAGCTGATATACATAAGTTTGGTGTTGCCAGACACATGAATAATGTTAGTTCCTCAAACATTCATGTCACGACTTTAAAGACAAACTGTATGTGGTAGTAAAGTCCAGACGCGAAGATAGCTGGTACAGCAGTTATAAACTGCTACACCAATCATCCTCATCAATTGGACGCATATATCTCTCAGTACGAGACGCTGGCAGATGGGCCCCAGAAGGAAGGCACATTAGACAAAAAAAAACCGTACACATTTGGCAATGACATTTCGCACTCGTAAATTGTTCGGATTCGATATTGGTTCGTGCTAAGGCTAGTTACCTGTCGAAGTTTTTTTACACTTCTACCTTTCATTTCAATATGTCTTTAGTATGAGTAAATCGACATTGTAATGGACCATTTATTCGATTTATTTTTTTGTCGCAATAGATGTTGTTATGTTATTTTCGATAATCGTTATTAATCCTATATAGGCGTACGGCGACAACGAGAGAATACAGCCATGCTGAGAAAAGAAGTACTGGTTTACCTGGCGAAGTTTTGTTACACTCCTATCGTTTATGTCTATATGTCCTTAGGACGAGTAAATCGACATTAAAATGGTACATTAATGTACGATTCTCACTTACCAAAAACGTCCACAAATTAGTTTAATTCCTTATTTGTATGCAATAGGGTATTTGACAAGTTTTAGAAAACGATCTGACGTTATTGACTAATGTTTATGGAGTCCGTAAAATGTAGATAATCATCATTCTGTTGTGTATTTTAGTAAAAATAACCAAATCAAAAATTCCATTATCAAGTTGCCGCGAAAACGCTTCTCTGGACAATATGGCGTCTTACTAGTGTGTGATGTCACACGACTTATATAAAAACTTCAAACGATACAATGTAATGTCACTTTAACCAGAAGTTTAGTGACGTCATTTTAGGCTCGGCCAATCCCAAGCGTTTTGGGTCACGTGACAATAGATAAGAAAACTAATATCTTTTTCGTTAGTTTTTAGTAAAATAATGAATATTTTTATTGTAAAAATAGTAAAAACCCCTGCCAATATTCATTCTAAACACAGATGCTAACAATTGGCACTTAATTTTTAACACTGTCAAATACCCTATTCAAATACCCATAAAGCTGCTCGGTTCTGCAAGCAATTATGGAACTTAGTACTTACAGTACTACACATTCGTTGCGTTACGGCCTCTTTGCTTGTGTAAACTCTTTGCTCATGTAATGCCTACGGCTGGCAGTTATATTAAAAAGGATATTTCATTATTTGAAATTTCAAATCTTTTGCCTTTTATGGAAGATTCCAGCAGATGGAATTCAGGCACAGACTCGATCGGTTAACTATTAATAAAAGATAATGTATATTTCTGAATTCAAATAAACCAAGTTAAAAGTGTTAATCTTTATTATTGATTACCGTTTGAGTATTACCTCCCAGGGTTTCACTTCCGGTTAAGTGGCTACTTTGTGGATGTTTCAATTTCCTTCAGCATATGCGCTGCGCTGCGTTCCGACACGCGTCGGTTTGTGAGAATCGTACATAATTCGATTGCTTTCACTGTCGCAATATATGTTATTTTCGATAATCGTTATAAATCCTTGAGGAGCTCGATGGCGCCAGTGGTTAGCGCGTTCGGCTGCGGTCGTTGAATTTGAGCAACTTTCACAGTGGTCGGTTATTAGATGGGTGAACAAAAATTTACTATCTCGATCTCCTCCGTGCTTCGGAAGGCACGTTAAGCCGTTGGTCCCAGCTGCATTTGCAGTCGTTAGCACCCACCAACCCGCACTGGACCCGCGTGGTGGGTAATGGCCCAATCTCCCTAATCCAACCATAGGGAAGGCCTGTGCCCCAGCAGTGGGGACATTAATAGGCTGATGATGATGATGATATAAATCCTTTAAAGGCTTACGGCGACGACGAAAGTACGGCCATGCTGACGCAAGAACTGCTGGTTTATCTAGCGATGTTTATACGCACCGAGCCGCAGCTGTTCATGGAAATGTTGCGACTACGTGTAGGACTTATTATACAGGTGAATGCTTAGTTTACGTTTCGTTTAATTGAGTAAGCAAAATGATTTGTAAGTTAATACTTAATTGAGGTTTCTGATGTTCCTTTATTATGAAATTAATAAGTTTAAACAACTGCAAAAAAATAAGTCAGTCAAAACAAGGAACAAAGTATTTTTTTGTGATCTTGCGCCCATTCATCTTATCAGCTAAAAATTACCTGAACGGATGGTAGGGAAAAATATGGGACGATTCAATAGAGCTTTCAGTAAGTTATTTTGAATAAAGTACATATATTTTCATTTCATTTGAAGTGAAAACTATTTTACGCGTGTTAGCATTTTGTGAAATGGGCTAAAGCCATTGAACTCACGTATATGATTTTTCCCAACATTGTTAGTAGTTGGCTTGGTCTTATTCTAATGCAACAAAGGCTTCTTCGAGTGTAAGAGGTCTTGAGTTCGAAACCGACAGGCATTATATCCTACTCATAGTATAAATGTAAAAGTTTGTATGTTTGTTACTCAATCGACTATCGACTAATCGACTAACGGATTTGGTTGAAATTTGGTACGTATATATTTTATGACCTGGAATGAGACACGAGTTCTTTTTATCCCCAGAAAATGTCAGGTTCCTGTGGGATACCAAAAAAAATAAAATTAACGCGGAAGAAGTCGCGGTCGGCCGTTAGTAAAAAATATATGTTGATTTTTGTTTAAATTTTGCTTGTTTATGTTTTTGAGATTTGAAAGTTCAAAATCGTTTATTGCACCATGTTGTTCCATAGATCTTAATTTTTTTTTATTAAAATAAAAGATATTAATGTGACTCTGCTGGGGCATAATTTTAGTAGTATCATTTTAGTTTCCACTGAGGTTGGCACACCCAGTGCTACCGCCATTTTTTGACCCTTTCTTACCCATTAAGTTTAATAAGAAAATTAAGAGTAATTAGAATACAAACATTTTAGGTTATGGCGACAGAGTTGTCGCGCACTCTATCTTGTAATGGCGAAGAAGCATCGGAACATTTGCTTAACTTATCTCCTTTCGAAATGAAGAATCTGCTATACCACATCCTTAGCGGCAAAGAATTCGCCATCAACAGTGGTAAGTTATCCTAATGCAATGATTTATTTTATTGTGAGAGTTGCTTTTAGATAATTTTGAACTCACTCGAAACTTGATGCATTTCTTTCAGCAAGCTCTTTGCACATTATAAAGGATAAAATCATCAAAAGCAAAGGCGAGTTATTATGGGTCACAATATTATAAATAATATATTCGCTTTTGTGGTTGAATGTATAGTCGAAGCCGCGTCGGTGGTCACATTTGCACTATGTAATGCCGGCACTTCAGTTGGCTATTCGTGTTTGCTATATGTAAACTTAACATCTGCCTTTTTCATGCCTGATAAAGCACGATAAGGATAGACTGTAGTCGAGTTTACAAATAGCAAATACGAATATCCAAGTAAAGTGCCGCCATAAAGTGCGATTCAAACTTCATGGCGGTTATGAAGTTAGCAACGAACGCAACTATGTGCAGGTTTCAGTCAGTAAGTCGTTGCGTTTATCTAGCGTATCTTTTAGAATCAAAACGTTAGTGTAATATAATAATGTGCTTTCACTAGAGTAGATGAAGCTTCATTCTCTATGTTGATAAATTTTAACCCCCTTATAAATAAACAAAGATAAACACTGTTTTGTCACTGTCTATCGAAACAAAATGACATTTGAGTGATGTAAAGATTATAGTAATATAAGTTATTTACGGGATTGTTAACATGAACCTTGTTTTAAACTCGCTAAAAACATCGCTATAATGTTGTCGATTCTGGCATGATTCTCTAAAGCTAAACTTAAATTTGACAACAGTGTATCTTTGTCATCCTCTATACAGAATAAAAAGGACACTCTGATGTTAATTTTAGTTTTAAGTTTAGAGAATCCTGCCAGGATCGACACCAATGTTAGTGACCATGAAAGTTTAAAACAATATGATGTAAACATTACTGCGCCGCCACTTGCGGCTAACTTCACAGCTGCTATTAAGCTTGAAGCGCACTCAACGTCGCTCTTATTCCTACGTAATAAAGACGATGTCGATGTCAAATTGTACCCACCAACGTGATCTTGAATGTACCTTGTGGTTATCTGTGTATGGGATTTGTATTGATGAGCCCCTCCTATTGTTTGATTAACTGTACCTTAAATATATATTATTTTTATATAATCATTCAGTGGACCGTATGTATTGTTAAATACGTGTCAGACTTGTAAATAACTGAACATATATGACGACCTCCGTGGCCGAGTCGTTTGTACGCCAGGTTTCATGGTGTCGCAGACTCGAGAGCTCCCGGGTTCGAATCCCGGTGGGGCAGATGTTTGTATTATGAATACGAGCATTTGTACTCCAGTTATGGATGTTTAATATGTATTTCTATATAAATATACTTATATATGTGCAGTATATGTATTCTATCCTTTACCCTAGTATCTCATAACACAAGCCTTACAGTGCTTACTTTGGGGCTAGGCTGATTGGAGTGTGTTGGAAATATTTATTTATTTATTTTATATATTATCAGTGTTGGTTTTCAAACGGCTGAATGGTGATATGTATGGAATGTATTTTTCTTCTATGGATAAGTGATGTCCTGTGTTTCATTCATAGATAAAAAGATAATTGGAGTTTACTATTCTGTGGTGTCTAATTCTGATTACATTAATCTATCCTTTCGCCTTATATACCTAAATGTTGCGTTAAACCTATCAAATGTAATTCAGAATTTTAGTAAGTTAACAAGACTGTCGGTCTTGTTAACTTAAATGTAATTATATGCCCATACGCATATAAGTGTCGCCGCACACGGGCCACACGCCACAGCCACAAACGCCGCCACGAGAAGCTAGAAGCGGCTACTAAAGTGGCTGAAGTGCGCGACAGCGGCCGACTAAGGTAAGGGAGAGAGGGGTGGCGGCTTTTTATATCGGAGCATTAAGTGGCCGGTGCGGGCTACAAGAAGCGAGCAACGACGATTTGTAGAGAGTGGTGGCCACCAGCATACCGTATGTGGCGAGTCCATATAAAATGTATGAAAACTACAAGAAATATGCCGGTGGCGGCGTTTTGTGGTTGTGGTCGGTGGCCCGTGTGCGGCGACACTAAATCAGCTATTAGTTATATCGGCACTTTAAATGGCTAATTGTATTTGCTATTTGTTAATTTGAAAGGGAGAGTCTTTTCACTCGCTATAGATAGAGTATGAAAAGAATAAAATGCTGTCAAAATGACAAATACGAAGTGCAAGCATTACTTATTTTTTGAATACACAAAAAAAACTGCAAGGTGTTGCTCTTGAGTAACTTTTTGATTAATCTGCTAATGGAAAATAATTTAGGCAATAGGGTATTTGACTAGTTTTAGAAAACGATCTCACGTTATTGACTAATGCTTATGGAATTGAACGAAACCTTGATCAAAACAGCTTCACGCAAACTCGGAGTCCTGAACAAGGTGCATCGTTTTTTCACGCCCGATCAACTGTGCTTGTTGTACAAAACGCAAGTGCGGTCCTGCGTGGAATATTGCTCGCACCTCTGGGATGGCTCCGCTAAGTACTTACTCGATGCCTTGGATAGGTTGCAGCGGCGCGCTGCCCGCATCATTGGTGATGAAGAGGTAACTAAGAAACTCGAGTCTCTACAATTACGCCGTGATATGGCATCATTAAGCGCATTCTACCGACTATATCACGGCGAGTGTTCTGAGGAGCTATTCTCGCTTATCCCTCCATCACCTTTTCTTCAGAGGACCACGCGCGCTGGCCTGTGTTGCCATCGACTTACTGTGGCCACTATTCCTACACGAACAAAGAAATTTGGCGACTCATTTCTTTGTCGTACTATTCGTAAGTGGAATTCTTTACCCGCGCACGTGTTCCCTCCTTCCTATAATCTGGGGTCCTTTAAGCGAGGCGTGGAGAAGTATTTTTGCGGGCCGGCAAGGTGAGGATGGTTGGTGTAGCAGTTTATAACAGCTGTACCAGCTATCTTCGCGTTTGGACTTTATCACCACTTAACATCAGGTGGGGTAGTCATTTGCCTACCTAGTAATATAAAAAAAATGGAGTCCGTAAAAAGTGGACATTCATCATTCTGTGGTGTATTTCAGTAAAAATAACCAAATCAAAAACTCCATTTTCAAGTTGCCGCGAAAACGTTTCTCTGGACAATATGTCTTACTAGTGTGTGACGTCAGACGACTGTTATTAAAACGTCAAACGATACAATGTAATGTCACTTTAACCGGAAGTTTACTTGCGTGTGACGTCATTTTAGGCTCCGCCAATCCCAAGCGTATTGGGTCACGTGACGATAGATAAGAAAACTATTATCTTTTTCGTTAGTTTTTAGTAAAATTATGAATATTTTTTTTGTAAAAATAGTGCAAACCCCTGCCAATATTCATTCTAAACACAGATGCTAACAATTGGCACTTTATTTTGAACACTGTCAAATACCCTATTCCTGTAATGTATTTAATTTTCTCCTTATTTATATGATTGCTATATGAATTGTCTGCCAAGTGACCAGATTTGTGATTTTTAATATGACTCCTAAATATAATATTTTTGAATTGCTCAATGCGTGCTCTATGGTCTCCTTGGCTACCTGTACTCACCTTTACTTTCACAAGCAAAACTAGCTTAGAGTTCGGCTTTTTATTTTGTTACTTTCTAGTAGGACGGGGGAACTTTTCTATAGTCAGCAACGTCTCCAAACGCTACGGGAAGAAATCTCAGATTGTGTTGGAAGGGCAACCTCACCAAGGCAGCATTGATGACCGTAAGTAAATTTTATTAATAACAAAAGGCCCCCCGCGACTTCGTACGCGTGGAGTTAGTTAGATATAAATGTTCACTGCTCGTTCCCCGTAGGTGATAACGTGATAATATGTAGCCAATATATTGACCCGACTTCTTAATAATATTCGTGCCAAATTTGAAGTAAATCCATGCAGTACTTTTTGAGTTTATCCCGGACATACATATACAGACTAACGGACCAAAATAAATAATAATTTTTATTTGCAATAAATTACACATACTTGCATGGTAATATTCTTATAAGTCTGTTTACACTAAGGCTAATATTTTACATTAAATGTTAAATGACATCTTCAGCCGAACTAGGAAGTTCATCCTGTATTTTGGCTTCAGCGCCCTTCCCCTATTTTAAGATACAGAACAAAGCCAATACAAATAATAAACAAGAAAAGATAAAAATCAACTAACGTTGTTCAAAATTGGTGGTATAAATTCTATTCTAAGGAATTTTTATCACCAATATGTTATCATTTCCAAAATAAGACATTCGTAGTGTATATTCAGATCTACACCGATCTATCGTTTTAACCATCATAATATAAAGCAGAATTAGGTCTAGAGTTTGCAGGACCTATTTATTACCTATAGGAAAACACTGATTCTATTTTTTGTACAATAAATACATTTTTCTTTTCAAATTATTGAGTAAATAGTCAAAGACAACGAAAAAGAAAGACTAGCTCTTTCAATTATTTTCTTATCATTAGTTAGGGCAGGCAGTATCTATCATTATAAAGTATAGGTTGAATGTTCAACACATTGAGTAGGAAATTTCCTGGAGCTTTTAAATGGTGATATCAAAATTGAAACTTTTACAAAATTTTCGGTTAACGTCGGCATAATGAAGGTACGAAAACTTTTATTTAAATACGCGTTTTAAACCGTGTAATCTTATGATGATTCCAAAGATCTTCAATTTAGAGTTCTGATCCGCGTAAATGTTTTTATTTGCGTATAATAGCTTAGAAATGCTTCTTTTTATCTTAAAACAGCACCTATAGCGGAACCGGATCGCCAAGGGCAATGGTTGCGCAGGCGCAGACTGGACGGTGCGTTGAACCGGGTACCGAGGGACTTCTACCCACGCGTATGGGGAGTTTTAGAAAAGGTTCGTATACATTAACAAACATAATTACAGTAGAACGCTGATTATCCGAATTAATTGGGACCGGGGTCGATTCGGATTATCGGACATAGACTGGTAATAAAGAAAACGAACATAGAAATATATAACACACATAGAATAGGGAAGATGCAAATATAATATTTATGAAAATTTTATGATTAAAATGTTAAAAAAATATAAAAGAAAGGCTACTGCAACGTTTTTATTTTACATAATATTGTTTTTTAACAATAATTACGAATTAAAAATTACAATACAATACAATACAAAACACTTTATTGTACACCACATATAACATTAAATTTAGTACATAACCAATTAAAACTAGTGTAACAATGGGCGGCCTTATCGCTTAGAGCGATCTCTTCCAGACAACCTTTGGATGGAGAGGACTAGAAGGAAGTGGGAGAGACGGCGGTGTAAATCACTTGAGTGATATAGGTGATAATATATACAATTATATACATACATAAATATAAATATATATTAAATAAATACATACATACACATAAATAAACAAATCTAGTTCAGTTGGTAGTAGTCACAAATAAGATTAACATCAAAAGTTATAAGGACAAATAATGGGACTTTACGAGGTTTTTAAAAGCGTGGATAGATTCTGCACGTCGTATGGTAACTGGGAGAGAATTCCACAAATGTACGGCACGCACTGCAAACGAACGGTTATAAAATGTTGTAGCATGTACAGGAGTCATGAGAGTAAGATTTTCTGATGACCTAAGGGATAACGTGTCAGAAGTGTGAAGGAAATTAAAACATTCCTGGAGATAGCGCGGGGTCTTAGGATTAAACAATATATTGTAAAGTTGTTACTTAAATTACTTGAAAAAAAAACGTATTTTAAAACACCAATCAGCGTTTAGTGACGTCACTCCTGTTATGACTACTTATTTGAGGCTGTGGTTGTAAAAGTGAATATTAATTTATGGGAATATTAATTGCGTTTTTTGATAAACATGGAAGTTGGGTTTATTAAAGCAGACTCCAGGAATTTACCAAGAGTTAGTGTTGACATGGTTGTAACTTTTTTTTTTCCAAAGTCCCGAGTTTTCAAGTGTAGAAATGAAAGGGACTAAATTACTACGGTATGTATAAATCATAGTTGTTAAACTTTGTATTTTATTCAGCGGCTTCTACACATAGCAGTTATTTCAGCTCAATAAGAAAATCTTACGGCGATAACGCAATCGGCTATGTCCAAATTAAAAGAGATGGAGAATTATGTACAGTAAAAAGTCGAGTTACTCCGGAGCATAAAGTACCTAAAGAAGGTTATCGTGTTACAATTATTTTAAATGAAACGCAACGCATTATTTGGAAAGGAGAATGGGCAAATCCGCCTAGATTGCGCTTGACGCATTTATGTATCAAAAATCTTCTTCTGAATTATCATTTCATATGTGTGTTTATTATGTAAATATTATGCGGATATTTAAAATAATAAATAAATGGCTATTAAACTGAGTAAATAACCAATAACCATAGATAAAAGTTGTATCACCTGGTCGATACTATCGTAGGAAAAAAAATCGATTATATTTCTTTATTTAAATATTCTTAACATAAAAAAACGAGTATGCTTATGACTACACAACTGAAGTGAAACTTCTTTCATTTACTAGCTGTAAGAGAAAAAGAGAAAGAAAATGCGTGCGCGCGCTCTTGCTCCTACACTGTGATACAGACAATAGGCTTGCACTGTGCTTAGATATACGGAACGTATTTGGCTATGAGAGGAAGAGAGAAAGAAAATGTGCACGCGCACTGCTTTCTCATGCTTACATCCCCCACTCAACTCCCGTTCGCCTCGCCCGATCACACTTTTCTTAACGCTTACGTTCGCTAGCTTACTCCCCAAGTCAAGAGTGCGTAAAGAAGTTTCACTTCAAAAAGAAAAAATAAAACGTTTATTATAATTGAAAGCATAGAACAATTGTAAATAGCCTGAAACATTTTTACCAAACACCGTAAATGACTACGAAATAATGATCATTCGTTAATTCGTAGTCACTTTTTATTTTGAGGTCTTCGATGCGAGTTGTTTGATTTTTGTATGGATCGATGGATAGATTATTTTCCCCAAATCGCCTATTCAGAGGGCCTGGTTTCGGTGTGGCAAATGTTTGTATGATGGATACGAGCATTTTTACCAATATTATATCATGATAAATAACATTAAATTCATAAAGTTATCATTTGTAAGACCTGTGTTGTGACTATCTCACTGTACCTACCAGGGATTGCTCTCTTTCATTGCATCTAAAAACTAAAAGGAACTAATTGGGCTGCGCAAAAGAGGATTTTTTGTCTGCGGACTATTTTGTTCATCAAACAGTAGATCGCATACAAAAACTTTTATATGTGTACTACATATTCACATCTTAGATTAAAAAAGGGAATATATTTTTGTTTAAATTATCAGTTATGTTATATATAATTACTTGATCATATATAAATTAACTCATGGTTTGAACATTTTAAGCATTTGCATTGAAAAATAAAACATTTATTAATCGATTGTGTAGGAATCGATTCCTATAGAATCAAATCGAAATATATACCATAGGCAAGTGAAGTAGGTAGCTGTCAACTTGTTGTCAACGTGTTTGTTGTTTGTTCCGAGTGACTAACTACTTAGGTACAGTTTTCAATTTTGAATTGAATTTGTGTTTTCAGTGGTCTATTGTGGCAGAATAGTTTTAATGTTGACTTGAGTAATCCTCCGTTAATAACTGTTTTTTTTGGGAAAGAGAGCATTGGACTCGTTGATTTAGTGTTAAGTTACCTTTAGTGACTCTGACAGAGATATTTGGACTCTTAGTTTATTGTAATTATTTTTGTTTACAATGGCATCTGGTGTTACACAAGAAAACGCAGACAGTATGCAACGACGTTGTATTAACTGTTGTATATCAGTACCACGACGACAGCCAGTACATTCTTTGGACATGCTATCCATTTCGGCTCAGCTTTCCATTATATGTAATTGAGTTGCAAGCTGAAATTTTTGTCACGCAAAGTGTTAACTATTAAAAACACGTACACGAAATCTTTTTAGGCGGAAACGAATAGAACTCGAAAAAAAAATTATTGAAAATTAATATTTTTGTAGGTTATGAGTCAATTTTGACAGCAATTTTGATCAGTGCTGCCATTTTTTTATGCAAAAATAACATGTTTCTCGTTGTCTATGGTAAATATAAGTTTATTATGTTGGTACTATTGTCAAAATGTGACAATTTACCGCCATTAATGAGATCTGTCAGTCAGTGTTTGTGTTCGTCGCAGTTGAGAGCTTTTTCGTACTCCTATTGATATTAACGTCGTCTGACTACCATGGCATCCTCAAAGCGTTCGACCTCGAGTTCTGCTGGCCCTTCGCCTGAAGAGTCGAGTGTAGTGCGAGTTTTGGACTCTAATGAGCCGCTTGTGTGGTGATACTTCACACTAGGTTAGGTTAGTGTTGTGACCTTAACGCGCGAGCCGAGCGAGCGAAGCGAGCGTGCCGCGGCAGCGGCCGGCGAAGCGCCAGAAAGAAAAATTCGTTAATAGAGACTTTTTCTACAAAAAAATCAAATATCATCTCTAGGCCCTGGAAGTACAGTTTTACCTTTAAAACCCCTCTAATTTTTTATAATTATCATTTCTGTAAAAAAACGCCGGGAGGGGGGAGGGGGATTTACCCTTCCCTCTGAGGGGTCTTCCCTAATACCTATCCCCCTGAAATTCCACTACATTTAACAGATTTAATGAATTTTTAGGTTAGGTAAAAAAAAAAAACTGCATTTCCGCCAAAACTCTTTTATGGCGGGGGGGTCGGGGGGAGCCCCCCCTCCACCCCCCCTACAAATTACCCCGAAATTCAATTACATATAATGGAATTAAGTACCTCCATTTCAATGCTTAATGTTTTAAGCTCATGGATCGCACCTGATTCTGTAAGTAATTATTTACTTATATTACTAAAAATATATCGTTATACAATCGCAACCGTGAGATAATGTTTTAATTTCATTCACATGTTCAAATAAATAAATATTTTTGACTTGTTATAGATATTGAATAGTGTGCAACGAATGCTTTATGCTACTACAAGCTAGTGACTCCACCGAAGAAGTACCTGCACCACAATATGGCCATCAACAAGTCTGTTTTGGTTGTGGAAAATCCATATTAAGAAGTTGATCGTACAGGGTTTCACTACACTGTCCAGAAAGAAATATTATTCTTAGATGGACTCCAGCACATCAGGTATGGTATAAGATATTATTATCAATAATAAATTATTAAAATTGATTTCAATGCTAATTAAAACATGACTGTGACATTATTACTATTTTTGCATTGCATGATTGAAATGTTATATTAATAATAATTTATTTAAATTGATTTCAATACTAACTGAAACATGACTTTGACATTTTTTTTTACATTGCACAATTGTCATGTAGTATATTAATGAAATTGATTATATAATAACTAACTCAATCATGACTATGGTATATAAATAATATATATAGTTTTTAAAGATTGAGTTCTGGATAATACTGCAACTACCTATAAATATTTGCACGCCGATAAAAGCGACAGGTCATGTTGGTTATATTTTTGAGATCTGTATAATTTACCATATCTTGTCAGATAAATGATTTATTATTATAAGAAATATATTTCTATTGCATAAAATAGTTGTAGATGGTTTTTCATTAAATTCAAGTTCACTTATCTTTTTTTTATAGGTGTCAAGAATTTCAAGAGTTTGTGCTGCCTGTTGGCGAGCAGCTAATAGGGAAGTGCAAAGGCAACATTTACATGATGGGAATCAGTCATCAATTGAACAAATTGATGTAGAACCAACAGAGTCTGTACCAGTGATCCCAGTACCACCACCATTTCCCGCTGGTCTATTACCTGTTCAGCCTTCAAGACCTGTTATACCTAAGATACAGTCATCAGTATAT